AAAAGCACACTTAGCGGTTTCTATTGGGTTGTTAGAAAAGTCATGACTCATTTTTGCAAAGAAAAATATGACCAATATTTCCCGACAACCCAATATTTGTAAATTATTTAACAAAATTTCAGCTTCTTTTATAAAAAATAAATGAATAAATGAATAAACCCTGGGAAGCCGAAGCACTTTTACCCCTTCCTGTTCCCTGATTTCCTCTGAGGAAGCTATCTAGAGATGCTGGCTAGAGATAAAAAAGGGAGGCTAGTTTAAAGGGATGAGGTCAGTAAACTTCCCCTGCCAGACAGGACGACAGGGACAGGAGTCCCTGCAACCACTGGCCCTCAAATCAATCCCATCACATGATCTGGAATGCAGTGAATCTTCCAGCACAAACCCTTTCACTCCATAATCAGCAGACAAAGACTGCTATAATGCAAAACTGTCTTGTTTTGGTCAAAAAAGATCTACTTACTCCCTCTTCTCCCCTTAGAGGGGCTCCCAGGCGTAGCCCCACCTCCTAGCTGAGGCTGTGGTCACAGGCTTCCTCTGGCAATACCACCTCAGTTATTCTGCTTCCCTGTGAGCCCCAAACATTCACCCTTTATGGCTCCTGTCCTGGGCTGCAGATGTGATGCATAGTCTCCGAAATGCAGCTGCTGGCATTTGGCTTGCTGGGATGCAGGCTTGACCTTCCTGCAAACCCACAGCGGCATCAGCAGGACTTAACACAAGCAAGGTGGCTACAGGGTAGGCTGGGCGTGTTATGTGAAAAGTACCGAAGTTTTGCCTTTCCTGCATGACCGTACAGTTTCTAAGTTCCAGGCTTCCCACTCACGTCACTCTAGCCATCGTTCTAAAGGCAATGCAACCTTCCCCAGCCCCTTTTGATTGTGACCCTAAACCTTTCTAGTTTTGCCTCTCAGGTTTGCACAGAACTGGAATCTAAACCTTAGCAAGCATGGAATTGAGAGGTTCCCACACTTTAGGTTTTTCTGGACTAGGAAGAATTCCAGTTTACTTCTCAGCATGCACATTTTCTGCACTTCTCAGCATGACTTAGGAGGCCCTGGGTGCGGGGGACTCTGTCCTCTGGCACAGGCACCAGCACCCATCTGTCCTCTCTGGCCCTTCCCACGCTCCCACTCTGTGCTGCATGCAGAATGCAGAGCCCACTCCTGACTTTACAAGCGCTGAGCCAAAGCACAGATGCCATTCCCACTCCCTCCACCAGGGACCCCGCTCATCTGTGAGGCTTAGGTGCACCACGGTTTCCTTTCTTGGACTTTAGCTAAACTCTTCTCCATTCCCTTGCCCAAAATGAGAGGTTTCTTTTTTCTCTCTCTTCTTTTTTTTTTTTTTTTTTTTTTTGAGAGGTTTTTCCTATAGGGCGTGTGCGCTCACCAGACAGAGAGAGACAGGGAGACAGAAAGTGATAAATCACCCCCCAGGGGAGATGGCCACACCGCAATCCCTTCTCCTCCATTCTCCTCTCGGGATCTTGGGCACGCACGCACATGTGCCCGGTGTGAGTTTTAAGCCACCGGGTCTGGGATGCAAACCGCGATCGACTACATGGGAGTCCAGCAACATAGCCATTATGCTAACTGCTGGTCCCTTCTCTCTCTTCTTTTTATGATGCTTTATAAATAATTCTGTTACCAGATAGACACAGGTCTAGCTATCATATAACTTGCAGCACTTTATTTTTGAAAACTGGTGGCTCATCACCACTTCCTGTTATACTTGAACTCCTCACCTGAATGCTGAGTCCTCTTCCCCACTCAGCATGACACCCAGCAGACACTGGGCAGATGCGGGTTGGGGAAGCTCTTCATTTTGACAGCCCATGTCTCACTTGCCACAGCCCCACCAAATTGCATTACATGGAAACAAAAGGCATGTATACACATGCACATGCACACATGCACATGTGCCTGCACACACACACACACAGGCACATCCCTTCTCTCTCTTCTTTTTATGATGCTTTATAAATAATTCTGTTACCAGATAGACACAGGTCTAGCTATCATATAACTTGCAGCACTTTATTTTTGAAAACTGGTGGCTCATCACCACTTCCTGTTATACTTGAACTCCTCACCTGAATGCTGAGTCCTCTTCCCCACTCAGCATGACACCCAGCAGACACTGGGCAGATGCGGGTTGGGGAAGCTCTTCATTTTGACAGCCCATGTCTCACTTGCCACAGCCCCACCAAATTGCATTACATGGAAACAAAAGGCATGTATACACATGCACATGCACACATGCACATGTGCCTGCACACACACACACACAGGCACACACATATACACACACACATACACACAGTAATACCCAGAGCTAAATGACTGGTCAATTCTGCCCACACTCTAGCTAAATGTAACTTTACCAATTCAGCAATGTGGGTGATGATTTATCATTTGTAGGGGGATTTCCATCCACCTTCTACCAACGAGCATCCACTGATACCATGCAGGAGGCTAAAGAGGAATGGTCAGATTCATTTTATTAAGGTTTTTCTATTAGAACCTTTTAAAGGCTTCAAAAGTCAGTGGTGGATGGGAGATTTGAGCCAAACATGCCCAATGTGGGCAAGAGCTTTCCTGATTCCACATCTGCCTCTATGTGGCAATTAGAAGATCCAAATCTGGCCTGAGCACAGGACGAGTAGCTGTCAGATTAGGCAAAACTTCAACTATGATATTATTACCAAAAGCAGCCAATGACTACTGAAAGCTAAATACAAGCAGTCTGACCTTGTATCTGTGCAGCACACAGGACTGCGTGTATGACAGATCAGCGCTCAAACACAGCACAGACCAAAGAGCCAAATCCATGTGTGTCATCTGACTGCCCAGTCTTCGAGCCCTGTGGCCACTCAGCTAAGAGGCTTCTTTTACCTTGTCAGGCCCTGGCATGTTCTTCTGTGTCTCCTTCTGTTGACGGAATCCAAATCCCCTCTTCTTCCTCCAGAGAGTCCTGGGACTTTCAGTCAGAGCCCAGATTCACTGAGGGCTTGGTTGTTTGATCCCAAATTCCCTTTACTGAGGCTCACGCTGTATGTCCTTCCTCCAGATATCTGCCTTAAAAAATTTAAAATAGCTCCAGCATCCAGATAAAGATCATCCCTGCAAAGCAGAAGTCCTCATATACAGCAGGCTCACAAATTAAACAGATCAGATAGGCTGAAATGCCAGGCTTTTCCTCCAAAGCCATGCTCTCTAAGAGCATTTTAATCTTTCTAATCTTTCGGAGGTTATAGACAGTGGTAGGCTGGAGCCAGCTTGTACCAGTTCACACAGTTGTGCACATCTTTTCCAAAGCAGAGTTCAATGACTTCACTTTGGTAGTGTGAAATTTGCTATGGCAGTGATATTTACACCATGGAAATTGGCAAATTCTACAAGCAGGACTTCCCCGCAGAGAGCGACTGTTAGACACAAACCAGCACAACATTTTTGAGCCTATGATGGAAACAGAAGATTCTCCCTAGAAAGAGGAAAATTTAGGTCTTCCCCAAACCATGCCCAAATCTGATAATTCACTGGAAGGACTCATAGAATTTGCTAAAAGCTGCCAGACTCGCAGTAATAGTTTATCACGGGAAAGGACACAGATTAAGAACAGCCGAAGGAAGAGAGGCTCAGTGCAGACCCCAGGAGGGTTCCAAATGTGAAGCTCCATTGTCTCTCTGGAGTCAGGACATGTAACTCTTTCTGCATTGGTGTATGACAATACATGTAGAGTATTACCAGCCAGAGAGGATCACCTCCTTTGATGTTCAGAGTTTTTGTTGGGACTCCCTTATGTCAGCATAGTTGATTTGATTGATTGAGTGTTCATGTATTCAATTTCAGTTTATAGGTCAATTGATATCATGTGACTCAAAGCTTCCATCCTAAATCACATGTTTAGTCTTTCTGGCATTGCCAATCCCTATGCCAAGATTGTTGATTATGGTGACAATCATCCTAAAATCCTATGTGGCCAACCTCTGCCTTAAACAAAGACACTCCCATTGGAGGTGGTGGGTGGCATGGTGGTTACGGTGTTGGACTCCCACATGGCCAACCACAGTTTGGGTCCTGAACTGGCAGTTTGCTTTCTCACATTCTTTTTCTCTCTGGTCAAAATAAAATAAAATAATAATAATAATAAAGACACTCCTATCAACTATGACTTACCTCCTAGAAGCCAAAGACAAAAGCCAGACCTCTCCTTTACCAAAGCCAAATTCTTTACTATGCAGCTGTAAAATCCCTCCCTGCTTTTCTGCATTGTGAGACTCCCATGGCCCCGGTCCTGCAGACACCCCACTGCTGGCTCCAGCTCTGCCCGTTCAGATCACTAGACTGCCTTCCAAATCTTCATTCTCATCTGCCTCTACTTGCTTCATGTTCAGTTCCATCAGAGCTCAAAACATGTATTTACTGGACAGTCACCTTGTCCCAGGTGCACTGGGGTGGGCCACATGGGTAAGGGTCATTCCTGAAGAGCTTTGAGGGTGTCAGTCACATGTGAACAAGGACTAGTACAGAGAAGGGACTCAAAATTTAGATTGTTCTATTACTTTTTTCAGAGAATGGATGATAACAAATACTTAATGATATCACAAGTATCATGTTTGAAATATCGGGCTGTTGGAAAAGTCATGGTGCATTTTTTGCATAGAAAAACAGAAAAATACATCATGATTTATCCACAGACCCAGTAGGGTCCAAAGAAAATTATTTTGGAAAATCACTCACAAGCATTGTTTCCTGAGTGTTCAGTGCTCGACCCTGGATACACTTCAACCAAGACATTGGAGCTGTCCCAGAGAGACTACCGGACTGAAGGTGGAGCCAAATCTCAGCTAAACTGAGCCTTAAGGAAGATTCCTAAATAACATATAAAAAGAGAAAAGCCTTTTTTAGGGGAGACATGCTGATTTTTGGCTCACCTGGTTTATCCAATGGTTTACCATTCCTTTCACTTACGCGTCTTCTCGTCTGTTCCCTCAGCCTGAACTTGCTGACAGATGTGCAATACGCCTTTGGGCTGCCCTTCTACCCTGCCTATAAGGGGCAGTTTTCTCTGGAGGAGAAAAGCCTGTCTCTGAAAATCATGCAGTACTTTTCCAACTTCATCAGATCAGGGTAAGTGGACGTCCACCCTCAGTTCTGCTGTTTCCTTTCCCTTTCTCTTTAATAAGCCCACAAAGGTCATACTTACACTGATGAACTCCTTTCCTCCCTAGACATTGCAATGCCAGCCACTGGTTTTCTTGTCTCAATCCCACCCTTCTGCCAAAATTTCTTTTAACTAGCTCAGTCTTCACAAATTTCCAATTAAATGTCTCTCCCTCTCTCTTTAATGTCAGAGAGTGCACGCACATGCATCCATGCACAGGAGAGAGAGCAACCCTCCTACCCCACCCCACCCCCCCACACACATGTACATACCATAGGCTTGGTCATGCTGCAATTCTTTTTCTCCCAGTTATCCATCCTGTCAGGATCCTAGGCATGTGTATACATGCCTGGCATGTGAACCCACAGGGCCAGGACTCAAGTGTTAAATGGAGAGAGAACATTCCTTCTAATTAGGGTTTAAAATGTTTTAGTGAGAAAATGATGTTAAACTGGGACTCAAAGGATGAGCAGCATATTTAGATCATCACAGAGAAGGGGGGACAGGCATGGTCCAAGCAAAGGCAGGGGTGAGAAGAAAGCATGTTTTGGTTGGTGAACATCAAGTGGCCAGTGGGCCTGGTCTAGGGGCTACATGATGAGATGTACTCAGTGATGAGGCTGGGCTTCAGGTTTAGGAAGGAGCCTGTGTCTGAGAAGCTGTGATGTCCCTTCATGGGAAAGTTAACCCATAGGTGACAGGAAGATTCCCTAGCTTCAGACCCAGCCTCCTGCCCAGGCCTTGGGAGTTCTAGAGACTGGCCATGGTGTCCAAATCAAAGGACAGAAGGATGGAGAGGGATGCAGTGACCTCCTGAGCATTCACAAAGACAGAGGGCCACACTCAGTCCTTCACACTACCAAAGTAAAGCATGCTCTGGGCCATGCACTCAACGCCTTTCCTTTCCTGGTGGCCTAACGGTGGTGAGCTCAGAGAGCCCTTATGCCCTTGATGCTTTTATGCTGCCTCAGTTAAGATCACAACCCCAGATGCCAGGTTGGGTGAGTTCAAATCCAGCTTTGACACGTAAAGATGAGTGATTGCTCCTCAAAGACCAAGTTCACACAGAAAGTGTTCCCATGTGATATGAGGAGAGAAGAGTTTCCCTCATGGATATTTCTTCTTATTTTCCCAGAAACCCCAACTACCCTTATGAGTTCTCAAGGAAAGCACCTGCATTTGCAGCACCCTGGCCTGACTTTGTCCCCCGTGCCAGCGGGGGGAACTACAAGGAATTCAGTGCACTACTCCCCAACCGACAGGGCCTGAAAAAGGCCGACTGCTCCTTCTGGTCCAAGTACATCCAGTCTCTGAAGGCGTCAGCAGGTAGCATGCGCAGCTGGGCAGGCAGGGCTGGGTGGAGGGGCCAGCTGTCCAGCTCCTGTGCATCAGCCCAGTGCTGGTTTGTGCACTGGGGTCACTGGGGACACTGGGTCAGGGGATGCCAATGACATACCTCTGTCCCCTGAGAAGCCTCCATCCTGGAGAGATCCTCTTTGCAAAATCATCCTGTTCTCATGAAGGTTTAGCAGGACTGCGGAGATAGGCACTGGAATAGGATCTGAGGAGAGCAGGGAGAGGGCTGTGAGAAGGTGAATGGGAATTCAGCATAAGGCTTCTGGCTCAGGATACTGCCATGGGAAGAAAAGGTGGGATCTTGACCCTCACAGCCTGTGAAGGCCTGATTGGAAATCCTGGAGAGGCGACTCCAGCCAGGGTGAGATGGGCACATACATCTCTTCCAGCTGAAGGGGCACTAAGGAGAGAAAACAAATCATAATGAGAGCAGTGGGAATACAGAGATAAACATGGTATCCTTAAGAAGCTTCCAGAAGAGTGGGGAGACATTATGTAATATAATGCAGTAAATGTCCTTCAGCTCTTCTGGCACCGTGATGGAAATCTGTGCCTAAGATAGGGGAGCCCAAAGGAGCGATGACTTGATTCTCCAAGGAGTGTCTGGGAAAGCTTCTTAGTGCAGGCAATACTTGGGCCGAGGTTTTCAGAATGATGGGAGTTTTCTTTAGGGAGAGGAAGGATGAAAGTCAATTACCAACCAAAGATGTGACCTTGTCCAACATGTCATAGATTCTGGACTCTGGTTTTACCTTCCAAGGCTTAGTGGCTCTGTCAAGAGACCCAAGCACCATTGTACGCTCGGCATGTCCCTACAGTCAAGCAAGGAATCTGGTGTCCTGACCACTGGAAGTGCCCCTCTATAAGGCATTAGAGAATGCCCACTGGAGGTTGGAGTCTCCTGTGGCCAAAGGGAAAGGAACTAGAAACAGAGTTCTTATCTGGCCTGGACCAACCTGCCCTGCCCTTCTGTTTTAGATGGAGCCACCAGTGGCCAGTCAGCAGGGAGTGAAGAGGAGGAATTGGCCACTGACTCTGAGCTGAGAGAAGACCTCCTTAGCCTCCAGGATCCTGGCTCCAAGAGCTATAGCAAGTGATCAGCACCTGGGACCTCCATCCCTGCCAACTTCACCCAAGGCGACCCACCTTGCTCACCTTATTCTCTAAAATATCCTCTTACTTTCAATAAAGTGTCTATATGCAGTGAAGCCTTCATGACTGATGTGTGAGTCTAAGACAATTTTTGGAAGGCATTAAAATTATTTCCAAATAATCCTCCTGAGATTTGAATCACAGGCTACTAGTTACTTTCAATAAATATTTATAGAGCATCTGCCATGCACCAGGCCCTGTGCTGGATGCTGGGGAAACAAGTACTGTGCCCCTTTAGAAGGACAGAAAGTCAGACAGACAGACAGACTGACACAGTGACACAGGGTATGGGGGGGTCCATCATTTGAATTCAGACCAAACCCAGTGATAGTTTGTAGGTTGGGATTACCATTCCATTTTGCAGATGTGAAAGTGAGGCTTAAAGTGGTGCATGGCATGTCTAAATTTGCACAGGAAGAAGGCAGAAATCGTAGTCCAACTTGGGTCTCTGAATTCTGTTTGCATGCACTGCATGGATTAAAATAAACAGGCCTGTGGACATGTTGTGTGTCCTGCAAAACCTACTGATAGCACTAAAAGTCCTGAATAGCTTCCAATATGCATTACAGGCTCAAGTAGGATACTGAAAGTAACTGAATCATCATAAAAATGCCTCAACTGAAGGATACTCCAACAGGTGGTGGTCCTTGGACTGGCCAATGACTCAGCAATGTCATCAAGGACCCACATTCTTTCCATCCCTCTTCTTTGCCATCTTCAGCACATGGACAGTCTTGCTTTAGTGACACAATGTGGCTACCGTAACTCCAATTGTCACATCTCCCCAGTAGTATCTGGTGCTGAGGCAAATGGAGCAGGGACTATTAAACTTCCCCTTCCGGTGCCTCTTTCTTTTTATGGATGAAAATCTTTCCCAGAATCTCTCTTATATCTCATTGGTCAGAACTGAGTCATGCCTTCTTTTAAACCACCATTGGTAGTGGCCATGAAAGAGCTTGCTATGATCCAGAATAAGCATGGCTTCTTCTCTGAACAGGAGCCATTGTCATCCCAGCAGAGCTGGGGTGTAGTTAGCAGAGATGATGGGGAGATAGAAACTGGGTAGACAACTGAGGCTCCTAAAACCATGAAAGTTGGCCCCATTTCCATTCTTGGGGCCATCCTGAGCTGATCCAGGAACTAGCCTCAAACATCTCTTTACTCTTTTAGTCTAGAGTGGACTGTAAAATCATGCATCATGGTTGGAGGTGATCACAGGTTCTCTCATTGCCCTGGTGCTTTCTGACTGAAGCTCACCCCAGGCTGAGGCTCCTGAGCCCGAGGACTCAGACAGGGGGCAGGAGGTGTGGTGCTGGGGCAGTATTCCACCTGCCCAGCCGTGTTTGGTGCCTCTGAGGTACCCAGCGGTGGGAGTAGATGGGACCTCTGTTAGGTTTCTGTGTGGCTTCTGTAACCAATCACCACACACTGTGTACTGAAACAGCAGAATTTATTCTTTTGTAGTTCTAATGCCCAAATGTCCAAAATCAAGGTGTCCACAGAGCCATGCTCCTTTGAAGACTCTGTGCAAGAATCCTTTCCATGCTTCTCTCCTGACTTCTAGTGGTAGACCCTAGTGTGCCTTGGCTTGCGGCTACCCTCACATCTCTGTTTCTGTGTGGGTCATACTTCCCTTTCCTATCTCTAATAAGGACTTAGTCATCAGATTCAGGGGCACCCTAAATCCAAAACTATTTCATCTCAATTTCTTTAACCTAATTTCATCTGCAAAGACCCTAATTCTAAACAAATTCACAGCCACAGGAATCAAGGATTAGGACTTTCTCATGTCTTTGGGGGAAAACAATTTAACTTGCTACAGGACCCAGAACAGGGCTCTGAACATGCTGTTGGGAGGGGCAGAACCTGGGCTCACCTGAGGCTGGCCCACCCGTGATTGTTCCAGAGAGCCCTGAACTCAGACTTTCAAAGGGCAGGAAGTAGAAGGAGCCACTGTGGACTTTGGGATAGAGTTTTGGGTGTCCAGAAAGCCCTTCCAGCACAGCCTTCTCTATAACCTGGCACTCGTGATGATAGTAATAATAATGATAGCATTTATTCTTTTATCAAGGTCTCAAACCCTGTACCCAGTGCCAACCTATCAGCACTGTCTTATTTTCCTCCCTCAAATGAAAACCTGTTCTTTTGTTGCCATCAAGAAGTGAGTGTAGATATTCTATCCCTGAAGCTTTGTACCTTTGGTTTCAACCTGGTCTATTTCCAGTTAAACTTAAGGTTTCTTAAGGAGGTTTCTCCTCCTCGAATACCTCAGTGGGTGGCAATAAGGCAGGCCTGTGGGAGGCATACATTTGGCCAGGTGTTTAGATGACTCAGTAATTTCTTTGTTCCGTCTTGACTAATCGATCATGAGAATCACCCAAGAACTTTTACAAACTCCCAATACCCAGATCATACTCCAGATGGATTAGATCAGAACCTCTGGAGGAGGGGGCACAGGCATTAGGAAGTCTCAACGCACTGTCCTGAATAACACTGCTCTTACCTTTCTGGATCTTTAGTCTCCTTATCTGCAGAATAAATTCAATTAAGTTTCCTAGGTGAGCAATGCTTAGTGAATTGTAAACTGAAAGCAGTTTGATTTTTTCCCCCCACAATTTCCCATTTTTAGTAGGCAGAAGACTGTCTCCCTCCCCAAAGTTATGTATGTATGTCCTATTCCCTGCAAACTATAAATAACATAGGCTACATACAAGGGATAGTTAAAGTTGCAGATGGAGTTATGGTTGCTAATCAACTGGTCTTAAATTATTCAAACAATATAAGTGGCTACAAGGTAATCATAAAGGTTCTTTAAAGTAAATAAAGGAGGGCCTGCCTCTGCAGTGAAGGTGGTACAATACTGACTATGGAGCTAGAAACCACATGTCGACCACAGTTTGAGTCCCCTGCCAAAGACACCAGGAATGTGTGTGTGTAACCAAGATCCTGGCAGGCTAGAGGACTGGAGAAAGGGAATCACAGCATGATGAACCATGTGGAGGGTGCTCATCTGTCTCTCTTTCTCTTTTTCTCATCTTTCATGCATGCTTACACACTCTCTGATGAATTAAAACTAATGATAAAAATAATAATAAGTAGACAAGTGAAGGCAGAAGAGAGGACCAGAGAGATGACAGCATGAGATGGACTTGACCAGATGTTACTGGCATTGAAGATGAAGGAAGGGGGCCATGATCCTGAGAATGTGGGTGGCCTTTAGATGCTAGAAAATGGGTTCTCTCCTATAGCCTCCAGAGAGGAATGCACCTGCTGACACCTTCACTCTTGCCCATTTGAGATTCCTGTTGAATTTTGGACCTGCAGAACAATTAAATAATACATTTGTGTTGAATTGGGCCCATAGATTGATGATCGCTTGTTACAGCAGCCATGAAAGGCAAATACGTCTTTCAAATGTGTATTTTATCCTGCCCTTGGAGTAAACCTGAGGCATAGCTAGCACATTGTTTTCCTAATAATAAAAAGTCTATTTCAGTACCATATAAAAATCCCAAATTTACCAGCACTAGCTGTGAGAATCCTTGCTCACATTTTTGTCATGGTTAGAGTTGAGTGATGGCCTAATGATGGTGCCAGATTTGGAACTCCCCTTTGTGTCTAGCACCACCGGATGACACCTGTTATGTTTTTAAGAACCTGTGAAACCTATGATAGAAAAGATCCCATTATTGCAACATCCTGTTATAATAATACCTACTTTGCAAATTCACCATGATGATTAAGGTACTAATGTATGTGAACAAAAAACAGTAAAGTGCTCTTCACTAATCCCTTGTAATTAACAGTAGATTTGTAACTTACAATGTGCCAGAAGACTGGCCCCTTAGCACAGAAGTTAAACACTATGCACAAGGAGCCAGATTCCGCATGGCCAACCATGGTTAAAATCCTGACCCACAATGGCTTGAAAAACATGCCAGGCAAGTGTGTGCATGCCCCAAATACTGACAGGATGAAGAAATTGAGTAAAATGGATTGTGGTATACCCAGTCTCTACTGAGGGGTGCTTTATCTCTCTCCCTGGCAAACACTTGACTTAAAGAAAAAGAAAGGAAGAAATAAAGAGAAATAAAGGAAGAAAGAAGTAAATAAGAAGGAAAGTAAAAGAAAGAAGAAAGAAGAAGGAAGGAAGGAAGGAAGGAAGGAAGGAAGGAAGGAAGGAAGGAAGAAGGAAGAATAAAAGTAGACTTGGGAAATATATGGCCCCAAAGACCAAACCTTTATGGTTCCTGCCTAGAAATACGGCTCAGAAAACTACAGCAGAAGAAATAGCACCCAATATCTGGATGTTTGAGCTGAGGAGAATTTAGTTCTTATTAAAACAAGAGAGAAGTACTTGCACAGGGTTCCCCAGTCAGCCCTGTCAGAACTGGCTTCAGAACTCCAGACTCACTCTAGCACTCTATGTTGTGTATTGTAAATTCCCCATGAAGTCATGTGGAGTTACATAACCCATTTCCCAAAGGGATGTGCAAACATGAGTGTATGTAGGGCAGGCACGTGTCATAGATTCATCTGTAAAGACCAGGAAGGTCATAGTACATCCAGTATCAAAGTTCAGGTCACCCAAAAGTCAGGAGGTAAATGGGGCATCACCTCACATTGAGAATCAGTGTGCCATCCAGAGTCAGTAAGGCATGAATCAAGAAAGGAAATGAAGAAATTAGCTAGGAGCCTAGTCATGAGTCTGAGTCAACTTCCGCTAGAGCTGGAAGCAGCCTGGAAGGGTAGGAGGATGAGGCAAGAGATTCTCTCATCGGGAAGTGGTGAGACAATTCCGTAAGGCCCCCTTCCTCCGGAGGCCCTCCAGGAAGACAAGAGCATGGGGACTCCCTGGTTCCTTGCTGAATCTGAGAACTCAACGGCAGCTCTGCCCAGACCAACCAAGACCCTAAGCCAATGGTCCCAAGATAAGGTTGAATACATTGAAATCACGTGCAGGTTAAAAACACACATTCTGGTTCCCACACTTTTGAGAACAAATAGATCTAAGGTTAGACTTATAAATCAATATTTCAAATAAAAAA